TGTCTATTAAAATCCTGCCAGGAAAATGTTCTGAAATATTAGACCGTTCCCCCCCTCTCCTCCCATTCCCATTTCAGCTGAAATATATAAGCCCGTCAGCAGGCCAAAACCCAAGCCACGGGGTCCAGAGTGAGACTCGCTGTGAATAAATCACACTCGCTCGCTCACGCACACACACATGCGGACGTGCCGCGGCGTTCACGAGGGAGTCTGTAATTAAAGCGCGCTCACCAAATGTGAAGAAAGCTATTTAAATGTCAAAACCGTCTTCACGGGAGATGACAGGAGAAGCTGTAATGTCCAATGTAAACATAACACCACATTTTATCGTATCGTTCACTGTGTCCATCTCATATGTGTTTCTACTCTACCTCTGTCTGCTGAGTATTTAATTTCTGTCCAAGTCACTGCCGTCCTCTCCGCAGGTATGTCAGATTTATAGATCTATGTTTTGTGCACTTTAGTTTTAGTTGCAGCAAGGGTACTTTCATATATAGGCTTTAATTAGAGTGCTAAAATTCATGTATGGTACTTAGTACTACAGAGTACTTAGTAGCATTAAGTAAAAAACATACTTAATGCTACTTTAATTTAATACTGTGGTATTTATTGTTGTATCGTGTTACTTTTTCAAATTACAATTTGGCATTTTTAATTGATATATCCAGAGCTGTTCTACATTTTATAATATTTTTATATCAAATATTAAATGTTATAAATGTTTTAAATTAAATAAAAGAAGTAAATACTGTATGTTGTTGTGTAAAATAAAATGAAATAAATAATTATTAAATATTACTCCACACACATGCACTCACACTATACAGTATATGTGTAGCTATTTATGTGTGTGTGTATATATATATATATATATATATATATATACAGTGTATATACACACACACTATTACTATTTATAGTAATAATTACGCTAATTACTATTATTTTTTTTAATTTAATTAACAGTTCTATCAAAAACACTATATATAATTATCCAGAGCACATTGCCATGGTACAGTGAAAGAATCAGAAATGGTGTGCCTTTCTCACTCTAAATATGGTTTTGTTTCTCAGAATTATTTTTGCACTCTGTTCTGAATGAATTCGCTCCATATCTTCCTGTTTGTCTACCTTTTTCGGTTCCTGCCCTCTTTTGGGTTCAGTTGGGCCTCTTTATGCCGCACAGGATGTAGGTGTGCCCAAGTCTTGTGCGTTTAAAGTGCGTACATATTCACACACACATACTTATACGCACAAATGCACACAATCTTATATCTTGCGGCCTAGCAAACATTACATTCAGGGTGGAATGTTAGCCGCAATGGCCGTTATGCCAGATGCAGTCAAATGCCGCTTTTGTTACTTACTAGAGCAGAGAAATGTAACCACGAGTTTGAATCACTGACAGAGCTGTTGACTTTGAACTGTTTGACGTCCACATCGCCCAACAAGAAAATCCCACCTGAATAAGAACATGATTGACAATCGGCAAAGCCACTTTGTTTGTGCTAATGCCTTGGACCTACAGTGGATGACTTGTGACAAGTAGAGCTGAGCAATTAGGATTTGTTTAGCCAGTGCTGCAAAGGACAGTGTCAATGAATGGGTGCCTCTAATCCCCAGCATAGACTCTCACGAATGTACATGAAACATCTGTACACACTAAGACGCGCTGCTGAACTTTGCTGAATTTCCATTGAGCGAATGCAGGCTTTTGAATTTAAGAGCACTCTGAGAGTTTTCCTGTCCCTGGCTGCAATCTTTATTTCCATGCGAGCTATAGGAAAGTGTGCGGTGAAACCCTGCGTGGGAGGTTGTACGGTTAAGCGTAGCCTCTGCAATACACACGCACAAACAAATCAAGTCACAAGAAAGCTGCTTGTTTGAGCAGGACCTGTCGTTATTAGTGGAAACTGAGAAACAGGTTAACATGTGTCTGTTCTCTTGATGGTTTTATTGTTTATAACATATTCAAAAACAGATAATGGGCATCAGCGGCCAAAGACAGGGACGTTCTTACCTCTTCTCTGTCATCCCTGTCCTTTGTTTGTTTGCTTGTTTTAAATAACAAGATAGACAGAAGTCAGATAGATGTTAATTTATTTAGTCATTCATGCATCCATCCATCCCATCTTTTTTATTATTTGGTAACGTTTTCCAACACTTTAATCATGTGTTAATGCATTAACTAACATTAATCATGAGCAATACAGTACATTTGGTATTTATTAGTCTTTGTGAACTTTTATACTACTTTTCATTATTAGGTCATGTTAGCGCAGGTGCATTGAAAAATATTAACAAATGCAACTTTTCATTTTATTAATTTATTAGTAAATATTCACTAAATATTAACTAACTTTATTTTAACCAGGTTTGATGCTTTGGAAGTACTTTTAATTGACTAAGCTCATGTTAACAAATATAGTTAAAGTTTTAGAATATAGTTTAAATATAGTTTAAATATAAATATAGTTTAAAGTTAAAGCCTTCTTTTACACACTGAGGAAGGCTTTGAGCCGAAACGTTTGTGTCTTTTCCCATCAGTAATGAATGTAAAATAAAAGAAAAAAGAAGATTGTTCTCGTGAGTGCGGATCATAATTTCCTATACTAAGTAACTCAACAGATTGACGCACCAAAATAAAAAGATCAAGTAACGCAAGAGCGCAGTGCAAACGACGTTGTTAAACAAATATAGTTAACTAATGGAACCTCCTTGCAAACTGTTGCTATTTATTTATTTTTTAAATGTATTTAAGTACCTTCTTAAGATGCAGTTAGATTTACCAATGTTCGACGAATTTCACAGGTACAATCCAGTAATTTTATTATAAATACATGTGATCACGAGTTTTTCATCAGGATGAAAGATTTCCACACACAGATTTTGCATGGGATTCAAGTTGGTCACAAACATTTGCCAAGCTGACCAGCAGAAAGATGCTTGTTTTGAAAGTGACGTTTCTTGCATTGCGACAATGGATAAAGTCGGAAAGTCTTGTTCAACTGTAGACTACACTCGTGAATATCTCTCGTTAATGAATACATGCAAACTCAGATGCAAACAAGCAATCATATTCTAAGTGGAGACTAAAGAAGGTTGAATGGAAAATTCTCATTTCGGTAGGAAAAAAAACCGTGAACTTCAAATCCTCATTAAGAAAACAAAAGTGAGTGGTTGTGATCAGTCCTTTAAGTGCAAATGGCTTGTAATTGCTCATTTGCATATGCATAATTGCAGTCCATTTATGCCGCGAGACCCGAGATGTCCTCCACCACTCGTTCAAATGAAAGACTAGAAGCACAAGAGTGTGCAATAATGGCCCGGCATGAAAAATGTATGGAGGAATACGGCACTCCAGCACCTGCTAAGTGTTGTAGAGGGTATTTTGTAACATGGAGAGAGGGAGACAGTGTATCCTAATTTGATTTTTTTGTTTTTTTTGTTTTTTTTAGATGTTTTAAAGTTTGTACCGGTGGCCGTTTTCTGTGCTCAACTGTCCCTCGTAAATTAGTTGAAGTCTTTCATGAAGCCCCTTCCCTGCACCTTTCACCTTTCTCTTAACTAGCTTTGTAACACCACAGATTAACTTTGAGCTGGATAGAGTAATTCTGCATTCTATCTTCAGAAGAACATTTCTTGGGAGATCTAATGTACTTCACTTAACGTAGTTCATTTTCATTTCAAAATCAGGTGGATTTTGACACAAACAATGTGATTTGTTATAAAATGCAAGGCTATTTTTTTCCTTTGCAACTTTCAAGACTCTTTAAATGCCCTTTTTTTTTTTTTTTTTGCCTTGGCAGAGTCTTAACTTTGATAAAGAATATCTCTTTGGTTTTGAGACTTTAGTCTTTGCAACTTCAGGGATCTTATCTATGCACAATCAGCTTGTAACACTCCAAAGAGAAAGGAAAACTTGAAATCGCATCATATGACCCCTTTAAATTATTATTTTCTACTCTACAAACATAAACATGTTAATTTATGTGTGTTAAGTAAAATATTTTTCACAAAACATTCTATGAAATATCAGCTGTAACACATACAGTACATACATATTTCGAGAGAGAGAGAGAGACAATTTTTTTCTATAAATATAAAAAAGTAATGGTTAAGAATGGACTTTTCCTGCTTTTTGTGAGACGTATTTACGACGTGAAATTCACTTGCTTCGAGTTTTTGTCTCAGCACCGGCCGGCTGTCACGTAGCTTTCCGATATTTTTTTCCCCCAGTAATTTGCCAGCATCTCATCCATATGTGAATAATTTCCCCTTAACTTTCGATCTATTATGATCCGTCGAACCGTTCGACTCTCAACCCGCTCCTGAAAACCGAAGGAAAAGTGTCTCTCACTTTTGAACCATGGCAGCCTCTTTCAAATGCATCACTTTATCCCCTTCATCACCTCCATTTTTGTTGAAAGGTGTCACCGAAAGAAGAGGGAAAAAAAGAGGAGCCGTAAAAATCATACCTGAACCGATAATGAGGTCGGAGAATGAATGAATAATTCTCTCATATCTTTTTCTTCTCACTATCTCCTTACAGTGCGACAGAGAGAGTGACATCGATGACAAGGTAAGACTTCTTTTCATGAGTGTTTGTGTGTTTACCTAACCCGTCGTGGAGTGAGTAAGAGTGATTTTGGAGTATGAAAGCCTGTCTCCTGTCTGCATGAGTGTTTGTGTATGTGTGTAGATGACAGAAAATGGTTGCCAGTCTTGTGATTGTTGTTTATTTGCATATTAAAGCGATACAAAGGCGAACGCAGTGCGATAGAGAGAAAGTACACTTATTGCGAAAGTGTTTTAAGCTTTCTGTGAGGTGTCATTGTGTTTGGCGTGTCAATTCAACTACTTTGAAGTTGTTTGAACTTGAAAAGTAGACACCTGTCTTGATGTTTGTGCTACTTAATTCTAGGCAGGAAGTACTATTGTGAACTTCACTTAAAGAGGCGAGCGCCTTGTAATGAAAAAGTGTCTTTGATTAGCTAAAGTAACTGTAATTCTTATTTTTATTAGAATTAGCGTAGTACCGTATTGGCCCGAATATAAGACGACCCTGATTATAAGACGACCCCCCTTTTTCCAGATGTACCTTTTGGAAAAAGGCTTTTTAAAAACCAAATCTTGTTTTTTCTCAGTAAAACACATTTTGTCTTCAATTATTTTCATATTGCATATTTTTCCTATTTTAATTTTTGTTTTGAAAGTATGGTAAAAACTGGTAAAATGTACCAACAATCACATTTTAAAAATATACACTTTTTGATATACCATAAAAAAAAATAAAAAAAACTGGTAGCCCATCTGAATTAGGACATTTAGGCTATCCATCTAATTAGTAGCCTACCAAAATCTTATTAACAGTAGAAGTTAAATTTTACTGTAGTCTTCAAATCTGGGTACTGTCTTAAGTTGTAAAATCACAAAGGGAGTTTGGTCCCGTCAGGCTAACGTGACAGTCACGACTCGTGCAGCTGTAAGGTTTTCTTTTTCTTTTGTTTTTACTCGCGATCTTTACAACACGCATTACATTACGTATTTCATGGCACACTCGTTTTATGCGTATTTGGCGCCATCTATTGTTGTGGGTGTATTATTGACATGTCAAAGTCTAGACCCTGAATATAAGACGACCGCGTTTTTTCAGATGTATTTCCAAGAAAAAAATATTGTTTTATATTCGGGACAATACGGTATTTTTGTGTTTTTCTTGTCCTGTTTCTGAAAGGTGCATTTTTTAAAGTGCCCCTATTATGGGTTATGAAAGGTTCATATCTTGGTTTTGGGAGTCCCCAACAACAGGTTGACATGCATGCAAGGTCAAAAAACACTTTCATTGTCTTATAATATGCATTTATTTTTACCTTACTTGCTCAATGACTCCCAAACGATTCACTCAATGATTCATTTTTCCAAACCCCTCCTTTGTGTGACGCTAATCGGCGGCTTGGGATTCGTTTTAAAAACGTCTCGTTTCAATGATTCAGAGTCGACTCTTTCTTTTGAGAGACAATAACTTTATACACGGTGCACTTTCAGATTTAAAACTTTGCAGGATGTTTTCATTCACTGTATTACACACGACATGAAAGGTAATTTTCAAAAATCCATAATAGGGGAACTTTAACTGTTACGAGACTAGTTGCAGAATCATCGATTAGAAATGAGCTACCAGGGTGAAATTCTCTATCATGCATTACCACGACTTCCAAAGCAGATGTTTCTGTGGAAAAATGTATATAATTTGCATGACCGTTTTGATGTGCGAGTCAAATGTTGTCTCTGGTTTATAATTTGATTTGTTATCTTGTCAGTGGACGTTAAATGACAGAACTGGTCTTATCTAAATTTGCAGGTTCTCTTGTTTAATATGATATATATAGCATCCACGCAAGCTACTCATGAGGTGTTACATTTGCATATTCTTTGCAATATAAACAACAGCTACAGCCGTACAGTGATGGATAGATAGGCCTCAGATTATGTCTAATTTGTTATTCAAATACGCTCTGGTCAGGAATGCTTTCGAGATTTGGTTAGCGGTTTGTAGGTTGCCAGATCTTTTCCGGTGGAATGTTTTTCCCGGCACCTTTAGCGCTTGTTTATCTTTTAATATTGATAACCCTGTAATGTCTGTCACCCATATAAACATCATGTAGCTCCAGTGGAAGTGTAACACGTGTTAATTCCCCTGCAGTTAAGCAATTACTCCCTGCTAAATGAATGTGATAGCATAACTAATCTCCTGTAAGCCAAGCTCCCAGTTCAGTGGAAAACGTCTCCGGCGCGCTCTATAAATAATACATTGATAGCAAGCAGCAATTTGCATTAACCGCAGCTCACGCTAGTCAATAGGCTTTTATCTCTCTCCTCATTGAGGCAGATGGTAAGAGAAAACCTCTTTGGATTTGACACGATGAAGAGAGGGACTTTTAGAGGCTGCTATTCTTTTAACACTAGTATGCTTCAGAGAAAAGAGAATCGGGGTATTCCACACTTATTTTAGGGCCCTTTACGTTCTTTGTTTCTCTGTGGGTCTCGTTCTCTCAATCATGTTGTGTTCTAGATGACGATAATGTGGATGCGTTTTATTGGTCACAAATTATTTATGTGTTCGTTTATGTGTTTCTAGGCATTCAATCTGATCATAACAAAGAAAGTAGAGGGAAAATGTGGCCAGGTTTGAGGCATGCAACGTACATTTTTATTTTAATAATTCTGTGTTGAGCCTAGTGCAAGTTCTGGCAATTATTAAAACAATTTTTAGGAATGGCACTGTGGTAATATCATATTTTTTGGGTCATCATGGAGATGCTAATGCAATTCTACTCTTTAAAGTACCGTAAGGTTGTAATATATACACTACTATTCAAAAGAAATTAAAAACAACACATTAAATTGAACAAAAGTGACAGTACATGAATAACGTTAAATTTTTTAAATTTAAATAGATGCTGGCTGCTCATTTTGAATTTTCTGTTCACCCAGAAAAACAAAGCATCATGGTTTCCACACACACACACACACACACACATAAAAAAAAAGCATATTTGAATGATTTCTGAAGGATCATGTGACATTGAAGACTGGAATTATGGCTGTTGTAAATTCAGCTTTGCATCACAGGAATAAATTACATTTAAAATATACAAAAAATATATTTCAGACGATGTATTTATTAAAATACACATTATTAAAAACTTTTTGACAGTAATAATATATATGCATTATTTATTAGGATTTTAAAGTAATTGCTCTTTGATTTCAAGGTCACTTTTTGGTTTCTTTTGTCATGTTGAAATGTATAATTAAGATTAAGAGTACCCGATCCTAGATGGATATACTGTATATGTAGCACATGAAGGGTAATCCCAGAATGTAGTTAAATGCAGAAGCAGACTTTTCCTTCGCATTCGTGAGAACATATGGAAGCAATTGCAGCGCTCAGAGTCAGAGAGAGTTTGTGTTCCTTCGGAAGAATGCATCAGGTCAGGATTTCTTGTCTCTTCTACTGGAGATGATAATTGTAGGTGAGGGCATTGAGAGAATGAGCCATGGTTGTTGTGGTGTTTGAGTCCAGGTGCACAGGTGAACTGTTTTTCGATGAACTTATCCATCTTAAACAGCAAGCACAAGCAAGATAACATGTTTACCACTTCAAAAATCACTCTGTCATAATTGCTTTGCATAAAGAAAAGAATAAACACTGTTATTTGTAATTGTATACATTTAAATCTAATCTAAAGCATTAATCTTTCCCTCCTGTTGAATAGTAACAGGTGTCTTCCCCTGAACAATAGCTCCTTTGAACAGTTGCAGGAAGAATGTGAACATTCTCTCTCATGGTGTTTTTACACATTACTACATTATAAAGCAGCCCGCAGGTACGCTGGAGGGGCGTAATCAGTTGGGCTGATTTGAATAAAATTGCTTCATGTGTAGATCGAGTCCACTTATTAACAAAGACATCACGACTTGTTCAAAGAAAACAGCTCACGCGGTGCATGACAGATGATACCACCTGAGGGTTAGAGCCATCGCTGAAATTACATACGCAGTTGCGGCCAAAAGTTTTACAACTAGCTGGAGATAGTGGATATGCATTTTATTATTGTATTCGTATAGAGCATTGTATGATTTTTGTTTTCATTGTTATGCCTTTTTTTGGAACAATCTTTTCCTGTTCTGCAATGGCTGACAGCTGGTTTTGTGTGTGCTTCTCAAGGAAATGATTTCCTTTAAAGGTTCCTGTACAGAAAGATTGAACATTGCTAAAGAACACATTTAAAGTAGTTGAACTCCTTATCTGGATTCTGTTTTTGTGCATGAGTATTTCTAGCATGTATGTTAAGGCTTATACTGTAGTGACTCAAAGTCAACATTTTCCTAATTCTGTTTCTTATTGTGAATGATCAATGCATGTTATTCCTATATCTATCTATCTATCTATCTATCTATATATATATATATATATATATATAGTCATCTTTAATCAGATATGTTGGTCTTTCTACAACATGACTTTACTTTCCACTGACGTCATTTAGACTTTGTGGACTATTGGATAATATTTAGCAATAGCCAAATAGCTATTTAGACATTGTTTCAGAAAATTTAGTCTGACTCCATTCTGGTATGTAACGTCCACTTTTCATGGTCCAGTTAGTTCCAGATGCTCTGTATTTTTCTCTTTGATTGTCCTGTTTTACATTACACAAGTCAAATTGCTTGCGAACAGCAGTTCATGTTGACTTCAAGTCAAGTACATTCTCTGGAAAGTGGGAAGTCGATTCTAACGGTTTGCATTAGATTTGGATTAGATCAGTTTCATTGTCTGTGTAGATTCATCACTAAACCATCCAGGTGTTGAAACGTTCCAAAAATCTAATTTTTATTAAAATCACTGGACTATAAAAAGCTTAACAAGACGTTTCGGTGTCTATCCAAACACCTTCATCAGTTGTAAAAACAGGAAGTAACTCTAGCAAATATATCCACAAAAGTCACATGATCAACAGACCTATAGAGGTCACATGACTACTAGATTAAATGTGTAACACATGCCAGAGTAGA